GTGATTGATTAGTTGACAGTGATACAAAGTGACTTTAGTTCTAACTCGAATATAGCGTTTTTACATATTTACTCAACGTGTTGTTGGGGTGAGAAAATGTAATGTGATGAATAGATTTTCCCGGAAATCACCTTTAAATACGACTCAATCAATAAACCATTAACAAACGCAGTGTATATTTACCAAATGAGTAAGTAAATCAATTCCATTGAAGGAAATTTACCAACGAAATAAAATTCATTTAAAATCACTGTATATCGCGTCTTTAAATTGTTTTTTTTTCTGAACCACTCTAAATTGACCACAGAAACCGGCGGTAGTTGCGGAAATAAGCTATACGCAAATGACACATTGTAACCATGAAAACGCTTACAAACTAGGTTATGTCATATTTCGATGTCACAGTACTGATTCGAGCACTTCGTTGAATGATTGAAAGATGATTGTTTAAACCAAATCGTGACTCAAAATATCGACCTAACCACACCACTGGTTTTAGAATAAAATATTCCGAGCTCGAATAGCTTACGTCGGTACCACTGCAAGGGACCTAATAATTCAATAAATGAAGAACTTAGAAAAACATTGTAATTATAGAGAACATATTATGTACAACAGAAGTCATAAGATGACATATTAATAACTTGGCGACAGCGAGTTTTCTTTTTCATAATACTCTGAAAAGCAAAAAAAATATTAATTATACGGACGGTGTACTGTCATTCGTGAAATACATGTCAAATTACTTGTTGAAAATTAACATACCGAGGAATTCATTCACGTAATCTGTGTCTTTTCCCCCTTTCAAACCATCACTGATATCTGGATGGACAACAAGAGGATGTAATGCATTCATGAAGAACGTTGCATACGGTTGTCCCGCCACTTTTAGGACCTGGGGTATGACAGAAACGAAGAAAAATGGGACTCGAAAATGCAGAATTAGTGAATATTCATCATATCAACAGCATGTAAAAGATAATAAACCTATGAAACTAATGTAGCTTAAAGTCTGATCAGCTTAGAAATTAAGTTGATGGTATAAAAGGACTGATATCCCTATAGTCAAGATCCTCAGTAAACAAAAATCCTTAAACTCAGATAAACTATTTCAAGACAATGTCAATACTACATTTTACGTGAAAACTTTATTATTATTTATCATTATTAATGGCTTTACTCAGTATTATATATTTAGTAAAATATGGGATTAAATAAGAAAGAAAGATTAGTTCAGCGAAGAGTTCTCTTTTCGGCGAATTCATTTTCAAAGCTGTACAATCGCAAATATATATACTTTTTTTACAGGGTGATAATAATACTGATAATAAACTTCTGTTATACATGGTGACAGTGAGGTTAAATAAACAACGGTATTAGAAAAAAAATTTTTTTTTAGAAAACAAGGAAAGTTTGATAGTTAATGGCTTAAGTATTCATCGGGTAAGGATGGCTCAGCATGATAAAATAACAGAGATGAAATGTAATCGGAATGATCGTGGAAATAAAAACAAACCGGTTGGGGGTAGAAGATTTGAAGGGAAGATGGAAGGTGAAGCAGGTGGCTGTAAAGGAACAAGAGTATGAAGAAAGAGAAAAATTTTTTTTTTAACACATTAAGACCATGGTAAAAGAAGAGGTTGTACCAGTCTCTTTTGTACACAGAATTCTGGTTTTTCAAAATGTATGGCTATTGCCTCGGCAATGCAAAGAAGATGCAGTCTAATTGTCTTAGGAAGGCTTCTACTTACCTTGTAGATGACTTTGAACGCAGAGTCTGTCTTGATTGAGTGACCTGTGTTCACAAGGTGTTCGATTATAGAACTTCTTATTGAGCCGTTGCCTCCTCTTCTTAGCCACGCCGGACAATGTTCTTGAATTCTTTTGGAAGAGGAGGCAATGGCTCAATAAGAAGTTCTATAATCGAACACCTTGTGAACACAGGTCACTCAATCAAGACAGACTCTGCGTTCAAAGTCATCTACAAGGTAAGTAGAAGCCTTCCTAAGACAATTAGACTGCATCTTCTTTGCATTGCCGAGGCAATAGCCATACATTTTGAAAAACCAGAATTCTGTGTACAAAAGAGACTGGTACAACCTCTTCTTTTACCATGGTCTTAATGTGTTAAAAAAAAAATTTTTCTCTTTCTTCATACTCTTGTTCCTTTACAGCCACCTGCTTTACCTTCCATCTTCCCTTCAAATCTTCTACCCCCAACCGGTTTGTTTTTATTTCCACGATCATTCCGATTACATTTCATCTCTGTTATTTTATCATGCTGAGCCATCCTTACCCGATGAATACTTAAGCCATTAACTATCAAACTTTCCTTGTTTTCTAAAAAAAAATTTTTTTTCTAATACCGTTGTTTATTTAACCTCACTGTCACCATGTATAACAGAAGTTTATTATCAGTATTATTATCACCCTGTAAAAAAAAGTATATATATTTGCGATTGTACAGCTTTGAAAATGAATTCGCCGAAAAGAGAACTCTTCGCTGAACTAATCTTTCTTTCTTATTTAATGTCATAATGGGTGTATTCCGTTTATTAAAATATGGGATTGTCAACACACAATATTTCCATAAGTTACTCTCATAAAAACAATCGATAACTGCATATATGTATACATGAAATAATTAAATAAACTACCTGGAATTAGACGAAGTGCTTTTAAGAAGATACGAATCTAGACAACTTTTGTTAACATGTTCGACAATATAAGCTTTGACTAATTTAGCTCTTACAACTTGCTCGTCACATGGTTTATTTGCTGGACAATGTACATTTGGTTACATGAATGGATTCTAATTTACTGCGGTCTTGTTCTACCAGAAGATAAACAAAGTGAAAGATTTGAGTCGGGCGGATGGTCAGTGTCTGGCGAGATAACACTTGCCAGAAGTTTGCAAAGTTTTATATATCTATCCACAACCATATTAATAATGACTTCAAAAGATTCGCCACACACCCTGCTAACTGTCCTCAGCACTCTCTGCAATACAGCAAAATCTTTTCTCAAAAGCCCGGGAAAGAATAATGAGGAACAGTAAAGAATAATACAAAAATTCACAAAAAGTAGGAGTATTTGTCGAATAATCTCAAAAGTATGTAGCCTCTTTATATAATAAGTCAGACATAACTGGCTTCGATATCAATAAGGTATGATAAGACCAAGAAAGGTAAGAGGAAAAACTTATACAAAGGTAATCAACCTTTAACATTCTTTTTATCACAGAATCTCCAATAGTACAAACTTCATTTGATTCCCAAAAAGTGTTCAAGTGCTGCTCATGTCCCAGGTCAAAATAAACAGTTTGACATCTAGAAGGGCTAAGTGTGAGACTTTTGTGACTCGAGATCTGACTCCAATTAGATCGTATGATTGGTTGCTATTGAAATATATACATCTCTTCAATCCTCGTGTAAAATTATCGACTTAACTTGCGTTGGTGAATAACGGAATTAAATAAGTCAAATACGAGGATGAATTTCGAACACGTATATTTTGTACACTCGTTTATTGGAAAGCGAAGCAAAACAAAATGACGAGCGATGGAGAAGGCGGATAAGCCAACTCGATTTAACCAAGCGTCAATCAATATTTATAATCACACAAAAATAAGTTACGGATATGTGATGAGTAGGATAAGATGTACACACATGCGCTCATATAAAAATAGTCAAGGTTGATAATTAACAAGGTCAAAACGTGACTCAAGAATAATGGATAAAGTGGCCTGTCCAAAATCTAGAATAAGTTATGTGGGCTTCACACAGTAACCGACATTACAAAACATTAACAAAAAACAGTCTTTCAATGAGCGACTAGGACTCATTCATTTCAAAGGGATGTAGAGGCAGAAATCAATGCGCAGACAGTAAGACCATCCGCATTCTTAACAAGTGTTTTCTGTAAAAGATGGCAAATCATGCGAAAGGGTAGAAAAACAGCGCCGTGTATCAAACCTTGAGTTAGCAGAGACGTTAGGCTCTTTCTTACCAATGCCCTAGTAAGGCCGAGAGTGGGGAGAGTCCGCTTTCCCTCTCCGAATGCTTTCACATGACCACGCGTATATAACCCTGATTCCAAACCAATGGTGCACATGGGCTCCAGGATCCTGAAGGAACAAATGGCGTATGAACCAATTTTCGGTCACCGGCTACCATCGGACCGCATCTCCTCACGATGCTCCAATGCCTTGTGGATCAGACCTTCATGTTAAAGGCTGCGGGTGTGGCCCCCTAAGTAAACCATCTGATTCGGTTTGATTTAGGATTTTATCAGGTCCTAAACATTGAAACGAGTTAAGTGACTGGAGACACTTTCAGACATCAGTTTCAGTAAAAACTGAAACACAACTCTTCTTCAAACTTTTGGATATAAGAAGCATGATACCAGATGATTGATGTGCAAAAGACTTATTTAAATAGAATTCACCTAGGTATCATAACAAAACTTTCCAGTGAGTAGGTACTTTATTTTTACACGTAGCGTATATGATAAAACCAGTCGATCAACAGAAATTTAGTTATCCCAGTATAGTTTATATCAAATAAACCATCAGTCCATTAAAATATGATTGAAACAGGGATATGGATAATGCACAACAATGCATTAGTAATTACTAGATGGTATTTCGACAAGTTTATTATTTGCACTTCAGACAAAATAGCTGATCATTGTGATATGAATAAGGATAATAAATTATATAGATCTTGTCTAGTAAACAGATAAATGAAATAGTATGAAACTGAACACTATCCTAGAGCCCCTAGTTTTAACTTTTATGCTAACGTCACTCCAAAGGAAGTGATCGGGTTGCAAAACCGAAACTAAGATTAGGTTAATATGCGTATTCGAACTAGCGAACCTAATAATAATAACGATATAGTACGTACAAATGTGTGAAGGGATTTGATGTTGAAACATACATTCTTCCTCTTTAATGTCTCATATTAACTCGGCGCCCAAATATTGTGAAACTATTCGTTCAAATTTAGACGAAAGTTCTTATTAATTCAACTAGTAGGTTTTGGAAACGAATCACAAAAAGAAATTTTTTGAATTACATGGATAAGTCTATATGAAACACTATGTATAAATAAATTCACATGGTACATTAATTTTCGACAACTTTAAGAGGATATAAAACGTAAACAATCTAAATTCGGTCAAAAATTTAGGTTTGTTTCTGATAAAGTATGAAATGGCTTGTTAGTGAAAATTGGTAAATTATTTTATAACACTCCAAATCTGTAGCAAAAACTGAAGGACCAGTACATGATTTAGTATTCTAATTATAGTTTATTTTAATAGGTTGTTTATTTAGTATATTGCGGATTGTTTTCGGAAATATGATTAAAGAATTTATTTACAATAAATGCTCCCCTCAAATCGTTCTGTTTACATTGATATGATTTAGAATTGTTATACAATAAATTTGTACCAACTAAATCGGAGTATTATGAAACTCCCATATAATTCATGTAATCATTAACAGTTTTATAGTTGCGGAATGCATTGATTATTTAATAATACTTTCGCTCACTGTGCTGGATTTTTGTGCCGTCCCAGGATAAATAGGACCGTATTAGTGTATGTCAAGTTAAAATATCGTTACGAAATTTACAGTATTTCATTGGATAAAATTAAACAGAACAGTCTGTAAAAAAAATTAAATGCAATTTATAAAATGTTATAATTAAGAACAGGCACACTATCTGTGTTAGCCTTGACATAATTTTAACGATTTAGTAATTAGTTTTTAATAAGAGTCATTATTAATTGCAACAACAGTATAGGACTTACACCAATAATGGTGACTTAATAAGGTGTCTGAATTTATTTAAACAATGTGATGAAAACAGTCGTTGTCATTGCAGTTATCTAGAAACCGAGGTTAGTATGAGACGTAATGTAGTATACCGCTACACATATGTTTATTATTTAGTAAATATAGCCGACATTTATGTAAGTAATTTGATATCGCTCTAAGAAATTTAGCAGTTGTTACTAGTTTATAAACCGATTGCGTTTACGGTTGGCTCCTATTTTCTTTGATATATGACGGCCTTGGGAAATTAAAACAGAAATCATACGCAAATATTTATTTATTCTTGACATAAACCGTTTTTATCAATCTAATGTATAAAATCCATTTCCACAGCACTATGTGATGGCATGCAATAGATGAATAAGTATTCATATCATTCACCAAATAAACTGACAGCAAAATATCTTGAATGGCTTAGTTGGTCTGTCTAAACAGATATATAAATGGTTTTACCTAACTGACACGATTTCATAGGAATCAAATGCACACGAAACAGCGAAAGTCTGCCATTTAGTTGGAAAACTCACCAAGTTCAGGTTTACTCAGTTGACTTCCAGACATATTTTTGTGTGAGAGGTAGTGATATTATCAATTCGCCAATGGCGAGCTAAACAGAGAGGGGCATGAACCTGAGGTCTAATCATTGAAAACCATGTGCTTCAACTACAAAGTCACGGTCCCATTGTCAATAATATAACCCGAAACAGGCTTCGTAGAAGGAAGCCAAGGAGGTATATCACCTAAGTGATAATCAGCAAGGTTTACGGTTGACTCATGTGTATGGTAACATTTTATATGTATATGAATGCTAGTTATTTATTCTAGTAAATGTTCTAACTCAATAAATTGTCATTCACTAACATGTACTGTTTCATTCGACATCATTATAGATTTAACAGTTGAGCGATTGCTAATGGTCTCACAAGCGTCTATATTCATCGTTATTAACTGAAATATTCTTAACAATTCACAATTTTACGCCAGTTCTAATTTTGGTAATTCCTTTAGTTACGAAACCACACAATATGGGTTTAAAAGGGTAATTATTAAATGATTATGGTGATAAAAATCAGGCACGATTTCTGATAGGTGTACATAATTACTATCTGTTGAATTAATGTTTTACTCAAGTTAACACCTAGTTTTATAGGATTTTGGCCTACTTGTTAGCGAGCTCAATTGAAGAAAATTGTCAGTGGTAACACTAAGATAAAAATCGGTTAACATATTACGAGCTTAGAGGCTACCTTTTTAAGCTTAATACCAAGGCTAATAACAGACGATTATGAAAATTGAAAACAAAAGCTTTGATTGAGATCTCCACAACCCTATACTGATAACAAAAATTTTCTTGATTTGCAAACTGTTTGTTTCCTGGTTATCCAACATGAATTTAAGTGTTTATCTCAAATCGATAAGTATATGGTGAACGCTGTAATAATCTATCAATATTCATAATATAAAATCAAAAAACATGTCACGTACTTCTGTAACAAAATGGCGAACAATAGAAACATCAACACGATTGCGTAAAAACAGTCTATGCATTGTGTTTATTACAGGAAGTACATGGCCACATGATAGTAAATGAACAAGTAATCCGACCAACATTCGTTTGTATTCTAACTGTAAAATATAAACGTTCAGGTAGTTAGATTATTTTTAAAAAGTGAATATTTTGCACCTAATAAAATAGGTCTTACTGACAGAGAGAAGCGAAATAGGAAAAAAATTAATGAAATAAAATATGCTCGTGGTAAATAAAAACGTGTACAAAGTAAGTATTTAAATCCTTCCGGAAAGTAAACGGCAAAACGTCGTGTAAAACGCTGGTAGAGGTGATTGCTGTACAGTAAGATATCAACTTTGTGAATAGTTTATATGAGAAAGGAGGAAGATATACAACTCAATTGTATGTAAATATTGAGTTATTCAATGCTAGTTCAACTGATCCAAGCATTTAGAACGACATCTTTCATATTTATTTAGAATGCTATTGTAATCGGTTATTGGTTTGTAAATAAATTTTCATCTAACAGTCTTGGATTTTTTATTGGATTGAGTCTGACTAATCTTGTTTCGTTGAACAAGTAGCAGGAAGGAGTTTATGTTACAGCAATATCATTAGGATTTTTTGGTAAGACGTAACAGTTTACATCATGGACTGACTTTAGATAGAAAACCACTAAAAACCAACGAGCACCGAACGATATTTTCGTTCTAGTATGAGATTTCTCAGTAGTGAATACCTACGACCCGACCGGGGAACAAACTTAGGACCATTATATCCAACGGTAAGTTTATTACCATCAGATTACTAAAGTTGAAGTTCGATGGTTAACACATTCAGCTTCAGATGGTTCGCGATATTATATGACCGCCATCCATTACGATCGGTAGTACCTGTCTAACACCAGAAATGATTGAACTTCATCAATCACAGCTTCTCACTAAAGTTTTGAAAATTCACCTGTAATTTATTCATCAGTATATTTTCTGAGTTTTAGTGTCTGTTTAATCAAGTTCAATCCATGGTGTAAAGTTATCCTCAAAGTGAACGATTTCCACAAACCATGGGGCTAAGAACGATAAACGTTGTTTAAATCGAAGAAAATAAAAATATAAGATACAGTAATAAAGATAACCTGAAAGAAAACTCATGAAGGAGGAGCGTTTAACAGAAGATACCTCGACCATACCTGACTCAAGTCTTCCATTCCTTCAACTGAAGAAGCCAGTAATTCTGTGATAAATGCTAAGAGAGCTGGACGTAAATATTCATTGACCTCAGCCAATTCATTCACTACTATACAGTAAGGTTTCATGGTGTCCATATTTAATTCAAAATCGACACGTTTCGTATGAAAAACGACCCGAACGAAACGAAATACACCAAGTGAAACAGGTCGACATGATAAACATCTCAAAAGCGATGGAAGGTCTCGGAAAGCACGTAAACTAATTCCACTGCCAGACATATTGTTCCACTGAAATAAAAAATGAAAGTTTATTGTATGCGTATCATATATGTAAACTGAATTGCAAAACGGTAATTACATTGAGTAGGAACTGGGATGAATGTCAAAGTGAATTATTCTGGTCTTTTCCTGTCACTTTACGGTGAAGCCTACTTGGTCTTTCGTATGGACAGAACCATAAATCATAACAACTTGAAAAAGATTTTCCATAGCCAATAAAGTTATAAAAATATTAACTTTGACACATGATTACAAGAACACAATTGTTTTGCGTAGGGTGGACAATGAATTCCCAGTCGATTAGTAAATAAAGCCTTAAGAAACTAATTGCTTTACTGCAAAGACGGTCAGAACCGTACAACTGATTCGATTCAAGTTTTATCGGTAATTCAGGCCTTTCTAAATTTAAGCATGCGTTAGATTACCTCACTTATAGCGACACTAAGATGAAAGGTACTATATATGCTCATTGGAATTTGAAATAAACCATGAGTTATGCCGCTCTTAGGATGTATAAATTTAGCAGTAATATTCGCCATCCGTAACCAATTAAATGTCTGTGTAACAGGTTAATGGTCATAGCTAGTGGAACATAGCAATAACTTTTAATCACTCATTGTGTTATTGCAGTGAGACTGCTGAATAGTTTTTAGATAAGAGAAATTTTAGTTGACTGACTGAATATATACAGGAGAATGAAAACTGTCACTGACATAGTTGATGCAATTACTTCTACTCTTTTTTTGATCATTGATTTTTTCCGTGATGATTTTAAGCACTGAAAAATTTGTTAGGTTGTTTTAGTCTATTTGTGTTCCATTTATTTGCAGCGCTATTTTATGCAAAGAAGCTGTTGATGATACTCATGTACAAAGTGATTCTCAAGTATATGTACATGTAAACGACACTACTTTAGTACTAAAAGTGAAGTGAACCAGTTTCAAATAAGCGACACAGTCGCGATAAACAACACGCATAAGATAATAAACTAAACCAACGTAATCACCAGAAAATAGGGAGCATAAAATATGAGAAAAATTGCTGAATATCGTCGACAGGTTACTGGTACGTACTTGTCTACAAATTCGACTTGCTTCTAAAACTTCACGTTTTGCTTCATCAACTTCAGTACGTATACATGAGATACGTCTTTCAGTAGTAGGTTCAATCTCTTCAACGACCACTGCAGCATAGCTGTAAAGGTATGCATATTGCTCTAATTGTTCAGTTAACAATCTATCAGAACTTGCAAATAATGCATCTGCTAGAAGTGCTAGTACATAAAAATAAGATGATTATTGTGAAATTTATTACCACTGGTTAACACATAAATAATTTTTTTTGAAATGCTACAAATCGTCTTTTGCACATGTACACATAGGCTCATTAATTTAAGAAATAACGATCTTGATACCTATCTTCGATTACGTTCACTGGTAAGAAAATTGCTCATCCAACTAAGGATATGAAATATCATGCAGCAAGTTATTTCTGACGAACAACTTACGGAAAGATATGCTACAAAATATCCGTCACAAGTGTCAGTTCAAACCCCGCTAATCAATCAAACAGAGAGAAAACTAGTATACAAAGACACTCTCAATCGAATTCTTGCATAAATTTACCATCAACTAACTGACAACAACTCGAATAACTTGGTATTTCTTTATTGTACTGAAAATATATTCTTGCTACACATGTGATTTTGTATGAATAGATCTTAGCAAGTTCAATCAACATCTACATAGTTTAAATCGTGAAGTATTACAGTGTTGTTGATAAATAAGACTATTTTATTTTGCTGTAACACATGAAACACTTACTAATTGTACCTTATATGACAACAAAATGTTTAGTATTGGTAATTTTTTTGTACAAGTGTAGTATGCTTAAACAAATGAAGTCATACTTGACAAAAGAACACAAATTAAACTACCCTACCAACTGGTAGTGTTAAGGGTCATAAGAAAATGTATTTTAAAAAAGGCTTTTGCTTGTATTATTTCTATAATTCAGTTAACAGTTAGCTCCCAGCAGTAATATCAACAAAATAAAAAGTGCTAGTTACAGAAAAGCAAATCGGGGTAAATGTGAACAAGAATGGGCATATCTTCCGTTTATCCTAAACAAATAATGATAACAGGGACATTTATGTTCAGTAGACATTAAAAAACTCTTTTATAATATTACACATAGTATCTGGCTACTTATCTAAACAGAATTATTTAATAAAACACATCATTTGACTTCTTAAGGATTGATTTTGTAGTACTAGAAAACTCACTGCTTTGTAGTCCGCAACAAATATACTGTTTTTATACAAACGCTGACAAAATGTAGACCTAAAAAATCTCAGTAACCCATATGAAAGTATCCAGAGAGTATTTCTCTTACTACCAAAGCAAAATGTTGTTTCAGAACTGGCTTAAGTCATGCCTAGAGAAGTAGTTGAGCATGTCGATTGTGTTGGGAGTTCCATCAGTCTATCTGGAAGAACTTAGGGATGGATACAGAAACCTAGTGTCCCAGTGTGATGTCTATCTGAGTACAAGTACTCTCTGTATTACTTCATAGTTGGAATATAAGACCTTTGAAGGCAGACGATATAAATCAAATGCAAGTAGCTGGTCGTAAATGTCTTCGAAGCGCCGTTAGGTTTAAAATGTTACAACAGGTTGTAAATCATCCGACAAAATAGTGGATATTCTTTGATTTATCTGTTAAAATACCCACTCGTGACCATTGTACAACCCTATGAGCTAAACCGGTTAGAAAAACTCTAAAGACGACCAAGCCAACACATAACACCATCCCACTAAGTTACTGATGGTCTAGTTGCCTAGATTGAGGGTATGAACATTGTGGCTAAGGTCTCTAAAGTTGAACTATCTATCTATGATAAACAGTCTAAATTATGGTACACGAAGTATGGTTTAAGTGTTCACTCCTTAAACACAAGATCATCTTATCTGATTTTTATTAGAAATAAATGGTTAAATCGCTTCTATCGACAGTTAATGTTACCCATAAAGTTTGGTATTTGATAGGCTCTAACTTACTTTCACAAGACACACAAGGTGGTTTGGTATTGGCAAAGTTATAGGATTGTATGTAAATCCCAAACTTGACTTTTAAAAAATAAGCTCCAATCGAAGCTTCAAGTGGCAAATTAAAACATACTTACCAATGAAAATGGGTTGTCGTAACAAAGCTACTGGTGGGGAGGCATCTCCTTTATATGCTTCCTCAAGCTGAAAAAATAATGAGAGGTGTTTATTAAATAGTTTTGTAAGATATGAGTGGTCGACTTGTTTTGTATGTGTTCCCAGTGATGTTTTTTCTATTTATTTTATTTGAACACATGAATATTGATACAAGAGGGAACCAAATATGTATGCGCCACACATTTTCATTACCATTATATTTGTGTGTGGGCTACGATACTGCCCGGGTGCCCAGACCGAAGTGGTTGGTTTTCTTAGGGGGCCACGCCCCGAGCCTTTGGCCAAAAGGTCTGACCCACAAGGCAGTGGAGCATCGTGAGGAGATGCAGTCCCATGGTAGCCGGTGACCAAAAATTGGTTCATACGCCATTTGTCCCTTCAGGATACTGGAGCTCATGTGCATCATTGGTTTTGGATCCGGTTGAAGCGCCGGACATTCGCTCTTCACCCTCTTATTTTCGCAAACAACACCCCCGCCACGAGAAGGCAGTGAGTAGGACTTCCCTGGCAGAGGCTATATATGCGTGGCCATGTGAGAGCATTTCGAGAGGGATAGCGGGCCCACTCCACTCTCGGCCATACCAGGGCATTTGAGGGCTTTGATAGAACGAAAGCCATATAACTAAATACCTCTTAAACTTGCCACTCCTTATTACTTGATGGAAGTAGAGCATGGTCTCTGAAAGTAGAGGACATGCATACGCGGCAGGTTTTTGATTTGTTTCTGAAGCATTGTTTGTGTTTCGTGAAACAAATGAGTCAAGAATGTTGAGTTTAGGCATAAGCTACTACGCAAAAATGCCAAATCAGTTGATTAGGATGCAAATTTTTGATGATTGAGGTAGCAAAGAGGGTATCCCACCAAAAGGATGACTTAAGAATGGTGTATATTAATAAGGGCGGTTATCAAAAGAGAGCGTATTAATAGAGGTGAGCTCCGACAGGGGGAATAACATTTTACAGGATGTGAAATATGTTCGATTTACCTTCGATCCCTTTGCCTTTATAACCAATCAAAAATGCAGTTTTCTAAACGTTTAATAAAGGGTCTACTTTTAACAAATACTTTAGTTTTTCGAATTTAGTAACAACTTGTTATTCTTATTATTCCAGTGATGTTATCTCGCACATCTATTTTGAACAGCTAGGGGGTCGATAGTCTTTTAAGAGATGTTTCCAAAATGTTTGAGAAATGTTTGGTGATTTTCGCGTTGAGATTGACTTTTAAATGCTTAAAACGAATCTATTTTAGAATCAAGAAATTAATTTAACACATTCTCAAAAACATCTATTATGAAAAATATCAACCGAAAAATAGAGGAAAGCAACGCACTATTAAGTAAATAATCTTGAGCATAACACTCAGGAATTCGCAATGGATATTGAAACATTAGGCCAATAGGAAATCCGCTAAATGATGGAAACATGTGACTGGGCTGGAAATAACTTTCATTCCTAGAGAATGAGACATACCATTGGTTACTTAATTTCCTAAGATATATATATATATATATATATATATATATATATATATATATCGATTACTTCTTGATCTTTGCAACGCAGTAGCCCGTTGGGCTAGTGTATAAGAAGAATGAGTATCGGTGTCAACTCACGGATAACGCTAGTTACAACATATATAGTTGTTCATTCGTAGGCATCAGTTTACAAAGAATACAAATCCACCTAACGCATGTGAAGCTTTCTCTGTTCATAATCAACCGTCATAAGTAAACAACGTAATCAGTGTGTCCCTTCAGTTCCGTTATATCTGTTCTACAAGAAAACTCTGACGCATTATGTAATATATTCTTTGCGATAATAAGCGTTTAATGGTACAAACGGACGAATCCCATTAAAATTTAGAAAGAAGTTTACACTTTCAAAGGAGCAGAGCTACCGAACTTGATGGAAATTATTTAGGAGTTCAAAATCCGGCTTTCAGTACCCGTTATTTATTACAAAAATACAAATTTCTAGATTAATATTGAACTTAATGATTTACTCCTGTAAACTATCACTTATCTCGATGAATTGTAAAAACCTTTGAAAGGATATCTACAGGCGATAATATAGAATTTATAAAAGATGACTAACCAGCAAAACTGCATCCGGAATTAAATCCTGTTCTTTAAGGATGATACGCATCGCATCCATGCTATCAGGATAATCTCGGGCACCACAGAGATACGTTGTGTACCGACTCACGTCACGGCCCCTGGATCGAATGTGTAATCATTAAAAGGTAAACGTAGTCCGAAAACCAAGCGAAACACAAAAGAAAATGAGGTATATCACCTATACGGAGAATATTCAAATGACTAGTTGTATAAGTGTGGAACTCACAGGTCCATGATATACAAAACCCAGTTAATTTATCTTATTAAATTTTCTATGCGAAATAAAGCTACATATATTTACTTCCAGCTTAAAACCATTGAGTTAATCAAGCATCAAAAATGCACTGTACAAAACAAGATGACAGTTTTGTGAATAAATTAGAACAGAAAAATTACATAATAATAACAAGAACATTTCAAAATGCGATTCAAGCACAACCAAAATGATATCCACTTGCTTTCGTCGTGAGCCGATTTTTAAACCACCAAGCTATCCAATCTCTACGAACTTATCTAGACAAACTTGATAGTCCCATCACAGATATTTTTCATTCTAAAGCATTATGTTATAAACTGACTACCATTCTCGAAATTAGCAAACGGTTCCCAGTATAGAATTTTCTGCAAGTTCTTCACTAAAAAAGGATCCAACAAATCAAAGCCACTTTTTTAGGATGAGATTACCGATTGGTTGAGGATGCATGTTATATTCCAACACATGTTGTAAGATATTAGTATTAACTAAACAAAGAAGCCATCAAAATAGAGAAATTTCTTGTGAAAGCTTAAATTAAACAGTGAGCCAGTGAGTATTTTAAATTCAGAGACTAGATTTTAAAAGCATACAGTAAAGGTTTTTTTAACAACAGTTGTACCTCTGTTCATTTCTGACCATACTAACTTAGCGTCAATGTCAAAGGCTGCCCAGATCAACAAACACTACAAAATAACCCAATAGATGATAAATCAGGAACAATGGCTTAGTACAGATATGAGTATAAACTAAGAAAAATATTGTATACGTACATCTAATACAACACTGCCTGTGGCTCTTTTAACTCGACCGTTGTTGCTACCTTGACGTGGTGGTCGGGCTTGCCTATCGTGATGAAGCAACCGAGCTATACTGGCTGGGACAACTGTTCCTCAAGGTCCTACCATGTCAGAAAAGTCGGTTGAAGAGCGGTAAGACTAAAAGCAACAAACCCAAGGTCCGAAGGCGAAGTCGTACTGCTGACTGTACAGAGGTGTGACAGCAGTAAGGTGTTTCCTTCAGACAACCAGCATAACAGCGATGCTGCCTTCCCACAAGGAGAGGTGGGGTTAGAAAAGGTCGACCCTGAAAATGCACACCTCACCTTATCCCACGGATTTCCGTCTCCGGCGGTAAGGCCCTTTGAGGAACGGAGCTAACACGTCAAAAAACCTCCCACGAAAAGGCCATGCGCGACCGGCCTCAAGCAGTTGTCCCTTGGGCACTGCGGTCACGCTCTCAGGTCACTGAGACCACCTCTAATCCAATTTCCTTTTCAGATACCTCCAGAAGAACCCTTCCTCGGTGTGGGAAACCGGGAAGTGATAACTGCCCTCATACCTCTAACAGCACTCAAGACCACTGTATTCATAATCAACCTCAGTCTTCACTTCCCATTACTCCTCCTACATCGACTTTCACCTCAAACCTTCCTTTTTCGGCTTCCTCCTCAAGCGTCACCATAGCCAACGATTCTAGTGCTCAAAATACTGTCCCAGGTCTACTGAAACCTCGCTCCAAACTACACATCGGAGCCTTCAACGTACGCACCCTATGTCAAATCGGTCAGCAGACTTCCTTGGACAAAACCCTAGTCTCTTTCCATTGATGTATGCTGTGTCTCCGAAACACGCATACAGGATTCCAGTGTGGTCATTCACTTGACCTCACCTCGGCAAAACGGAGAGCCAACGACATACACCCTCCGTGTATCTGGTGACCCGATGGCCAGTTCTCGTGGACTGGCAGGTATAGGCATAGCACTAAGCATGAGGGCGGAACAAGCACTGCTAGAATGGATCCCCGTCAACAGTCGTCTATGTGCTGTTCGGCTAAACGGCTCCGTAAGAACTCGGAAGGATAAGGAAACACGTCGTTGCCTTTTTGTCGTTTCTGCCTACGCTCCCACTGACTGAAGCTCAGATGATGTGAAAGATTAATTTTACAGAAAGCTTTCTGAACTTCTTCAGAAAGCTAAACGCTCAGACATAATACTCGTAGGGGGTGACTTTAATGCTCAGATAGGTAGTTTAAACCAAACAGAAAGGCATTTAGGTGGATATTTTAGCATTCCGGCACAGCGAACAGATAATGGTGACCGTCTGTTGCAACTGTGTTCAGACAATCGTTTATTTTTAGCAAACACAAATTTTAAGCATAAGGACAAACATCGTCTAACATGGCGACCCCCTACACCAAAACAACGATTGACTCAAATAGACTATATTACCATCAGTCATCGTTGGAGAGGGTCGGTAGAAGATTGTCGCTCATTCTGGAGTACCTGCTTGGACTCCGACCACGCCCTAATACGGGCACGCATCCGCTTGCACCTCACTGGACGCAAAAAAGCCACATTAAAAAGACCCATTAGAACTGAGTTGAGTAACGAGAAAACCAAAAGTAGGTCCCAAGAACAACTGAGTTCACAAATAGGTAGTTCTGAAGACGAGGCTGACCCAGATGTTGCTTGGAAAGACATACAAGCAGCTGTGGAAACAGCAATGAAATCTATTAGTGACTTAAACCAGAGAGTTAAGGACAGCATTCCTACAAGTGAATAACATATGGAACTCAAAACAACTGTCAACAAGTATCAAAGTCAGAATCTTTAATACGAAAGCCAAGACGGTTCTACTGTATGGAGCTGAAACTTGAAGAACTACTACAACTATCATCATAAAGGTACAAGTATTTACAAACAATTGTCTACGCAAGATACTCAATGTCCATTATTGGTCGGATACCATCAGCAACAGCCTACTGTGGGAGAGAACAAACCAACATCCAGCTGAGGAGGAAATTATGAAAAGACTTTGGAAGTGGATAGAACATACATTACGGAAAACATCAAAGTGCATCACGAGGCAAGCCCTAACTTGGAATCCTGGAGGGAAACGGGAAAGAGGAAGACCAAAGTACACACTGCACCAAGAATTGGAAACAGACATCAAAAAGATCAATAGCAACTGGAAAGGATCGCCCAGGACAGAGTTGGATAGAGAATGCTGGTGAGCGGCCAATTTTCCTCCAGGAGGGGTAACAAGAGTAAGTGAGTACCCAATCAAACCACTCCTGACTTTCGATCAGGTTGATAACACTGATTTATCTATGGGACACATGTAAAGCAGGCACAAGAAAATTACATTTTTAAAGGTTGACTAGTGGAGCTATACTTATCAAATTAGACCGAACAAGAATCTATTCATTAAGGAAGAACAGCAGAAAAAAATATATGGCCTAGTTAAAATAATATTAATGTTTCATAATAAAAACAGGTATGATAAGGAATTTAAATAACCAATCTTAATCTGAATAGGAGTGTAAAGAAATATATATTCAAGATTTTAAAAAGTGTCGGTTGCAACTTTTTTCCCTGAAATCAAATCAACTGATCACTACTGTATAAAACCCACCCGACTCAGTATGTTCTCTTCACTTTTATTTAAAATCTAACAGGAAACACTTATATTTACGATGTAAAAAAACTTAAGAGTGAATCAATGTAATAGGATGTAAATCTTGCTCAATGTCTAGACATATATGGGATTACCCAGTCTTTCAAATTTTGAGAGATGAAAATGGGATGAATTAACTTGATCGTCCAGTCAGTCAGCTACAATGTAGGACCAGGCACATATGTGCATCGGTCCAGGTTGCCATACCGCATCAGCACAGCAAGATGAACACTGGATTCATAGCAGTGGTTAGGTCAAAGTTGGTAATATATAAGAGAAAGATTGCATATGGAGATATAGTACAGGAAGAAAGAATTGGCTCGTAGAAAGAAAGATATAAAGCGATTTCAGTCTCTTAGTTTAAGGGAAGACAGGAAGTGTATACACCGACGCCATTGTGATCGATTCTGAGCCATGTCACCAAGAGTCTCCAACCATTGGTTACGATAGTCACGCGGACCCCAACCAAGTAGTCTGCATCTACTAACATGGCTCAGACCAGAAGTTAATGACTTCAAGCACTGATGCCACATTTTGGTTTGGCCGCCCCTAACTTTCTTCCAACCATTTCCAATACCGGATAGCATTGCACGTCGTGGTAATCGGTGTTCAGGCATACGCAACATGTGACCCAACCATCTCAGTCGATGAAGATTCATAACCTCATCAACTGATTTACCATCATTTCCTAATACCCTGCGTCCAACCTCACTATTACTTACCCGGTGATCCCAGCAGATGCAAGCAATATTTCTAAGGCATTTGTGATCAAATACTTGTAGCTTACGAGTGTCTTCAACTCTTGATGCCCACGTTTCGCAACCGTAAAGTAAAACAGAACGAACTGCCGCGCAGTATACTCGTCGTTTTATTGATAGACGGATATCTCTGGAGCCAATCTATCTAGACCAGCTGTACTTCCTCGTTTCAGATTAACTATAGCCTTTTAAACTACAGTTAGAGTTGGGGGACCTACTTCAATGTTCCATTCACACTGTCTGGGAATGGAGGGTAGCTTGACCGTTAAATATTTGTGAATGAGCCACATTCTAAGTGCGAGACATGATAACACCACTCGGCTGCTTAAACCGAAGTACGTAGGTAGAGTGGGGTTCGAACCTGGGACTTAGTGGATCTAAACAACCGCTGTACGTCATTATTCTTACAAATAACTGTAAAATTATAAATGTATTTGAATTTTCATTTGTTCAACTGAAAGGTTGAAATAGTAATTTATAGAAATTTGGAGATTTTACAGAGGCCTCTCCGGTAAGAAAAGATAAAGTAACTCAACAAGGAAATCCACTTTAACCGGTGCCAACTTACGGAAGTAAATAAAATAGAGTAAAACATTTTATGAACGTAAGAGTGGGTTTTCGCATCTCAAAAGTAAATCTAATTTACTTTCAAACAACCGTGCACCTATAGAGAGAAAAATTACTATTACTAGCATCAGTTAACTCTAAAACACTAGTACAAAAACCTTTCACTATCTACTAATTTATGATAAACTATTCAAAGTTTAACACATGAAAATCTGTAACTAAAATTGAAAACAGGATCAAACTTATCAGAACCTTCGACTTGCTTCAGCTTCCAAAAGCCAAATAAGATGATGAGCACAATGGCTCTTCATTTTTCGAGCCAAACACTGCAAGATAGATTGCAAGAGTAAATATCCATGTTCACTATGACAACCCATTTCCTAATAAAAGTAGAAGTATTCATGAAGTTAACAAACATTTCAATTCAAACTTTACAGTAATTACACTCAACAAGAAAAAAGTCCATTTAAATGCAACAGTATTATTAACAGGCAGCAAATGTAAGTATATGAAAAGGGAAACCGATTAGAAAGGACTGTCGTCGTATATAAAAATAACAAGGGTATCTTGTTTCATGAGAAAATTTCAATACATATTAGAACCTTGAAAAAGTGCTTTGACACTATTCTAGAGTGGTGACAGACTTAAGTAATGTATTACAAACTTACCATTTCTTTTTTGACTACCTCTGACTTACCAGCATATTTTAACGGTGAGACGTTTTGCAAAATAACCGATGTTTATAAAACAAGTGAAACCCTTAGTACTAATAAAAGTTGTTACCTTATATTATTAAAAAGTATACGGGAACTCACCATCCAACCCTATCTTATCTACTTATTAAGAACTTATTAAAAATCGTGTAGTAGGAGTAATCCTACATAACACCCAATATTTCACATGGCTTTCATATAATATAAGATACTTCACTGAATCTTAAAACAATTGCAGTGAACTAACTTTGATGAACAAGAGACGAGCAATATATTGGGCCACGTTGTCCAGTTCCGTTGTGACACAGGAAAGGAATTCCAAGAAAAGGAGAAAGATAACGTTGGATCCTTACTAAGGTTTTACTTGGTACTGTTAAATAAACTAAGCATTCAATAGATTGTTAATAATATAAGTAGCGGTATATTCGTAGTGTCACAGTAAGTAGAAAACAAAATTTCTAGCATTTTGTGACTCAGCGTAAGCCATTTCTTTACAGAATGAATAAATGAACAAATTAAATTAAAACGAGTTGAAGTTATTACAAAGAAACAAAGCAAAAAATATTTAGTACAATCCAGAAGCAAATCTGATTAAGCCAATATCATGTCGCTCTAGTCAAGATGACTTTGTGAGAAACGCTTGCGTATTTGCTATGTAAAAAGGTAGGGTTGCATTCGTATGTGAGATATGAATAGAATCAAATATAGTCGATTTCATCGATGATCCAAGTCTGATAGACCACAAGGCTTTCTTTTCTATTGAAGGCAGTTGGATTTAGCAATATATAAAAAGCTTCAGCTACTCACCTTTCTTTGCAATCGAGAAGTTTTTTGTATAAGTTTGATATTTTAAATATCGACTTAAAGGTTATCGAAGATGGCATGCACTGCTATTGTCCATTTAATTTGGAGTTTTGCAGGTTATTGAGGATTAATATGTAGTTCTTTGTGTATCTCAGATGTTTTCGACTTGAGTTATTTTACGAGACAATTCTCCAATCCAGAAAGCATCACAATAAGAAAACTTTAGTTTGTAGATACGATTTTGTGTTGACATAAAGCAAATCTTATCATTTTTATGAATTAGAATATTTCGAGGGATTCTAGTTGTTTCGTAGTATGCTTTAATTCTGTGTAGTTTTGCGATTCTTTAGACATTCTTTGTTGCACCATGGTGGTAAGGTGGAGTTATTATACTAACTCATAAAATTTCACTTGAACCATTATTTAATGGTAAATCGTTCTGTCTTAGTACATTTTTATTAACATGATCATCTATGAATTAAGGATCTGATATTCGTCATTTAATAGGAAAGAGAAAACGAACTCTACACATTTGTGGATAAAACAGGCAGACAATAGCGGGATGGCATCTAGTCCCAACGTAAAGTGATTCAAGCCGTAACATATCACTTCGGTGCTGTGAGATTAAAATTAGCACCGTCACTGCGTTGACAAACTACCTAGAACATAAAAGGGATACTTGCACTATTCTAACAGCCTAATGCTTAAAAAATGAACGCCTTTACAGCTAAGACACTGCTCTGCTTGCAAAAAAGACTGAAATGTGTATTAACTTACCAAAAAGTGGGTTAACATATCTTGTGCAGTATCAAAAGAAAAGTGAGACTCTCCTTCTGATGAGTATGGTTGATGTTCGTTATCGACAGCGGAAACAAAACCCTTAACGTCATCAATAGATGGAAGCGATTCCGAATTCACCATGCTCATTTCTGAATGTGAAACACTAGAATAATTGGTACATGAAGCATTATTCCGTTTTGGCTGTAAAAATGCAATGGAGTACATAAATGTCTGATCTTTAACTGTATCACCGGCAGCTAGTAATGGCTGTAAAACATAGATAACGCACTTCAAGAAAATGCCCAGAGTGTTCCATGCAAGAGGAACAGATACGAGTTCTCCAATGAGACTTTCTTTTACAGCTATACACGGCATAGATAGTGATAAAAAAGGACAATCTTCGTTCCGTGGATGCTGAGCTAGGTTATAAATAGTTTGACGCCAAGTTGGAGATTCGACCATTTGACTAAGCCACTCCATGGTGTCCTGAATTTCGAAATGTTAGGTAATGACCAAGAAAACTAACGGCTGAAGCTTCATCTGTTAAACATGTTATGGCTTTGGAACGATCGTAGTTTTGAAGAATAGCTTCCTTGACAACTGATTCAATTATGTTACGAGTAGACTGAGCATCTTCATCTAGCCGAACGAATGCGAAGTATTCTGAAAAGGTCTTACCAATGTAGGTGAGCCAAGTCCCCAGTTCAAATAGGAACTCGATTGCACCCTGATAGCTCTCCACTAAAAGCTCCTCTGCCTCGTTATGTCCACTTTGTGGGTTATTATATCGGATGCTAAAAATCCGTCCGGTTATAAAGTTTCAAAGCTACCAATCAATTGCTTCTGCAAGCATAGACGGGTGTTCAAGAATGGCATCTTTCTTCTTCAGGACAGCTCTGGCCTCTTCCATAATTGAGATCGCACTATATAGACGAAGAAACGAAAATTAGACTTCCACTGCTAGTTACAGAGATAGGAATGGAAATGTACATTTAAGCAGCAATCCCACTTAATTTCGGATCGTAAATGTTTCAGTAAAAATAGATACGTGAAATCGCAGCACGCACATTGGGACAAATGTAAAAAGAAAATCAGTTTTTTTTCAGGCAAGATTGTAAAGACGCCTAGAAGTAGTCATTCAGTGGAATCAACTGCTCAGACATATTAGGAAAATATGACTTTATAAACGTGATGAAAATGAAACTTTTGGACGTTAGTAACTAAAAACAAATCAATGCTTCCTACGTAATTTACTCACTGGATAAGTGCAGCCCCAGACTTACTGTCTGACATGGTGAATGAAGCTGTCCTCTGGTACAGTAATGAAAATGAGACTGCCTCATTACAGGTCAATAAGTAAAACTTACTTTTCAATTAAGTATTTAGGACAAGGTCACGTGTGAACTCTATTTTCAGGCGTACGATTACTAACATCTCTAAAATTATCAGATATCAGAACATATATTCACCACTTAAGGTTGATAGTCCTCAGTTTACAAATAACTAAGTCATATCGGGTGAAAATATTGAAGAAACTATATCGGACAAACACCTATGTTTTGAGGTATATTTTATATTGCTTCTTTTACTGTGATAATAAGACTAAAAACATAGAACATGGGTTGAAAAACAACAGGATCCTCAGAACCAATAGTGATATACAGTGAGACTATAATTTATGGACGACCTTTGAGCAATGCTAGTTACCTGGAGGGTTATAAATGCCCTGGTACGGCCGAGAGTGGGGAGAGTGGACTCTCTCCGAATGCTCTCACATGCCCACACGTATATAACGTCTGCCAGGGAAGTCCTACTCACTGCCTTCTCGTGGCGGGGGTGTTGGTTACGAAATTGAGAGAACGAAAAGCGAATGTTCGGCGCTTTAACCGGGTTGGTGGATATAGAAGATCCGCATAGGGGAGTTGGAAAACCCTGATCCCAAACCAATGGTGCACATGGGCTCCAGGATCCCGAGGGAACAAATGGCGTATAAACGAATTGTTGGTCACCGACAACCACGGGACTGCATCTCCTTACGATGCTCCATTGCCTTGTGGATCAGACCTTCAGGTTAAAGGCTGCGGGTGTGGCCCCCTAAGAAAACTACCTGCTTCGGTTTGGGCACGCGGGCAATATCAAAGCCCTCACACATATCAAATGAGACCTGTGTGACGCATATGTATTTGGTGCCTTCTTGTACCAATATCTATGTGTTAAAATAAATAAATAAATAATAAATGTGAAAAATAAGGATTATGATTTATATTTGATGGTAAGGGTCAAGCGTTGGATTTGGGGTCTTCAGAGTAAACTAAAATTAGCTAAGATGCCAAAATGATATTTAGACAAATTAGTGAATATATTTCACACCAAAATTCGAGACCTATTATCGTAAATCTAATTGGTTCGTACATAAATTAGAGTCTCGCCTGACATACTACTGTCATAATTCAGAGAGAAGATCCTATATGCAGCGTAGCCACAGGTCTGGAGCTATTTTTAAATGCTCAAAGACGCAAGAAAACATATCAGACAACACCTATACACGCGGCGAATTTGTCACTCCTGACGATCCCAACTAAAACATCCGTTTGACAAGAGAGACAGCTGAAATAGAAGAAATGGTGAGTACTCCCTACCTGATACAGTTATAGCTAATCAGTTTGCAACCACTAACATTTATATGATGCTAAACCTAGGTCTGTCTTGCCTTTACAATAAGTGAACACAATGCACGTCACTCCCAGTCTCCCTATTCTGGGTAAATTTTGGGGCTTTCCAAAAGTCTCAATGGCCTTCCCAAAAATTTGGAGAAATATTAATAAATTTTTCCAGATGTAGATAAATTTTGTTACGAAATCACACTTATTTTGAATGGAATGGGGGACAATGTATACTTTCCCTTTGAAACATGACCTAAAAGTAATGTGTATGTGTGAGAATACCATTAATGCACATAGCATTGTATAGGCATTTGTTTGTCACTACTGTCAAGTATGATACTTTTTCATAGCGAACAGACGAACTTCAACTAGGAACACAACTAACCTTATGAACTAAGTAACGCACATATTCTTAGCTAGCGCCAATTGCAGTATCTAGTACTGTCAAACCTCAAAGTTTGTATATAGGGTTAGGGAAATATTTGATTCTCAGAGTCTTCTTCTGAGTGGCAGTACAGCTTTCTGGATTAATAATGTTCTAAATAATGTGATAAAAGGCAAAAATACGGGTTAATAATAGCAGGGATATCTGAATAGTACCCCTTTAGTAATTCCCATCATTGCGTATTTAAATGAAATCAACGTATTATCTTCTCCTAAAAGACTCTGTGTGGAGTTTTGTTACTATCTGCCTTGGAGGAGAGTTCCGCAGTCTAACTATTCAAACCAAGAAATACTTTGAATCGAAATTCATGAAAGTTCATTTGTGCTGAATCTGAAATTGGTTTTCTCAAAAGTGTAGTTAAGTATAGGAGTTTACTTGCCACTTTTTACCTTGAAAATGATTTTGGGTAATGAAATGTATCTTGATCATATTCCCATAATTCTTTCGTAATGCATTCGTAATAAATTTAGCTCTCCCAGCTGAGCTGAATGTTGTTTATTTTTCAAACTGATTATCCTTTTTGTTACCTTTTTCGAAATCGTCTCGAAGCAGTGACGACTTTAATAAAGCATTAAGACTTAAAGTAGGAACTTCTCTCTAGATGAAGTTATTATCAGTCAGTGAAAAAGATACAAAGTAATTTCTCAGTCTGGCTGCCTGATGTTTTGGAAAGAAGCCGTAAGACAGCATGTTTTGTTAGCTACAAAGTGTCAATGAGAAGTAACGTCCATGATTTCGCATAAAGTGCTGTCAATGTCCCCTTCTTCCATAGGAAGTATGATACTCGTATCGCTGAAGGAATTATGAGGTAAATAGAGCATCACTTTTGTTCGCTATTATCACTCTGTATTTTCACGCATCTAGTTTTCTTGAAGCAGCTAAATATCACCAAGATCTGATCGTCTTTTTACATTTAGGCCATCTGAACGTAGAGGCGATTATGAATCTAGAATACAAATCAGGGTGTTAATAAATAGGAAGAATAGAAGTACATTCGAGGACTGAGCATTAAAAGACTACTGATCATTGAAAAGTCGAATCTTTTAATAATCCAGGAACAATTTGACTAGACATCTACTGATGTCCGTTAATTTCAATTTTCCTTAACGACTCTTGTAGTGAAACCTATCGAACGACTTGGAGAAATCTAGGAGGCCTGTGTTCCAGCTTTTACAGGTAATCGAAAAATTTGTATGTTGAGAACCAGATAGTATGGATTTACTGAGTATACAAATTCGGAGGTATTTATTGATAATTCTTTCCACTCTCGCTGCTGCTGACAGCATGGAAGTCGGTCTGCAGTCTCCAGCTTCTGCCCCATTGTTTCTACATTATGCTAGTGTGACTATAACCATTTCTCAGTTGGAGAGTCATCTGTCCTTTAATTACCAGTAGTAAAAGAGGCCAAAGAATAATGATGAATAGTTTGCCTCGTTCAGGCTCATACCTTGATGTTAGGGATAGGTTCTAAATGGGCAATAACATTCACTGAGGTTATCGTATCAGTGGGGTTGCAATGTCCTAGGTGAATTCGTCAGCCATTTATTAACTAAATACGGATAACTATCTTCTCTAAAGTAACTGGACCTTCGTCATATCACCTCGAAGTTATTTTGATGCTCATACTGGTAGTGGGTTTATGTTGAGATTTAAAAGCATGATTGAAGGGAAGAAAAAAGATTGGAAAAAACGGTTATGAGTGGTTTGTAAGTAGAATAAAGTAGTGATAGTGGACCATGAAATAGCCCTTGATGTAGAACGCATCAAATCGTTAAACGGAATATTGTCTATCTCGTTCATGGACACATTGTTGGAGCTAGAAGGGTGGAGTTTGAGCATCCCTTACAGCCGACTACGAAAGACCTTATGTCCACGATACTTTAGAGGGATCACAGCCAAAAAGTACACACACTGCAAACAATTCGAGATTTTATATGAGAGTCATGTCTTTTTCCAATATCTTCTCCAAGGTTGCTAGGTTGGTCTCTGCAATGACTTTCAGGAAGGACTATTTTGGTGGAAAAAGCTGTGTGGCTTATTAAGTAGTAATCCTTGTTGAAGCCACCTCTCGTTCTTGATGTTTGAGAGTAATAGTCTCATCTATGGGGAATAGTTTTGAAATGGATCTTCGCCGAATACTATAGTCTTCTAACGTATTACAACTCGTCTAAGCTATCCACATCTCACTTTAATAGGTGAGCTAATGATATCGAACCAACAATTCGTGCTTTCATCACAGGAAGCAAAAATGCTTACCGACAGGTGTTACTTTTTATGGCGATCATAAATTCAAATTTATTCGTCACGACTTGTTTGAAATATAGGTTTACTAACCAGTTTCCCCATTATTGTTATAATGATATGACTTAGATTTAACGTGCCAACATAAAGCTCGTAAATGAAGGTCATTTTAGGGTTGAAAATATATTTACTGATGATATTAGACTGAAACAAGGCCTTATCATTGACATTGGTTTTTACTAAACTCATTGATTCTCAAGCTTTTTCGAACCAACGCCTAAGCTGGAGGAAAGAATAGAAACCAGATTAGTTTGCTACGCCATGCTATTTTTTGCGACCCGAAACTCACAAGGATACATACCCTGAATATTTGTCCATATAACGACACAACTACAAAGCTAAAAAGAATATACACTTTGACCACAAGTATTGTATAATTCTAATACTGTAATAATAGTTAACTAATGATAGATCTGGGATGATCGAGCATATGATAATGACATATGTGTCGAATGAAAGCCTAAGAATAAGTTAATAGAAAAGTGTAAAAATCTTGGCGTTTGTCAACAGTGCAATTAAGTTAGACATAATAACTCTTTGTATATTAGTTCCCAAAGTTACACGTCCACATTCTTTAGGGTGTAAAATCAATTTTCGATAGGTGTCTGGATGTCAGCATTGGAAATGTAGTGATAGGGCTTTCAGTCCCAGTTTTGTAGCATTGAGAGAAGTGCTTGCTGAATTATTCGCAAATAATTTTAGGGTCGTCAACAATGCTTCCTTTAACTATGAAGAATTTAGTCGTGCTAACGGAATTTGACTTCACACAGGATTTAAAAAGCCGAAGTATTGGCAGTTCTGAGCTTTTACTACGTAGGGCTTTATTTTCAATATTCATAAAATACTTGCGTTTAGATGAAGAACTTCTGTGGAATAATTTAAGTATACTTTGAATTGCATAAACGTCATTATGCTCGTAGTAGCAGCATTTTAATTTCCTCAGCTTTCTTTTGAAAGTTTTAAAAGTATTCTGGCCCTTATTAGCATTATGAGCCACATGGCCAGTAACTGGAGTAGTGCAGCCAAGGCAATATATCAGGTTGTGTTATAGATTGGAAAGCGCAATGTCAACATTATTTGTGGTAACATAAGTTTCCTATGGTAAACATTGAATGAGAGTTTCAGTCTGTTTCCAGGTTTGTTGATCCAAATGTCTGCTCTGGTACATCATTAAGGCATTAATGTTCAATTTTATGGAGTTTAGAGAATGAATAATACTAAACACAACTCTGTGATCACTCATAAAAAACTCATGACTGGTATGCACTGAGATGGAGTTGTAGTGGCATTGAACAATAACCGCACAATCCACAAAGCTGAACACGAGACTACTCAGAAAATAGATATTCAATATTTAACGCGGATAAATACCTAACGATGGAGAAGGCGCGGAGAATGAATTGAATGGACTGGAGTCGATGGCACACTATGCGTGTTAGTTTACGGGTTTTCGCGCATATGTAACATATTGTCGTGGATTTTATGTTTCGTTATTTATCAGCTATTAACAGCCTTTTTTCCATCATACGTGACTTCTCGTAATCTTTGTGATTGGAAGATATTATTTATTTCAATTTACAAGCAGTTTGACGTATTTTGTGCTCACCACCTAAGTAAACATGCAGTTGGCGTAATATGGTTATTTTTTAATAATACAAGGTCAAACAAGTCAAATCACCATTTTTCTAGTGAAAAATAGAAAACAGAATGACTTTTCATGAAAATAAGCCGTGAAAAGCATTATATATGGTTCACCTCCTTGATTATGGTGACAACAAACATAGATGTTCGCAGTCGTTTATAAGATGTTATCAGAAAGAAGTAAGCATTAAACTAACTATGGATATTATATAAATTGTTTGTATTTAGCCATAAAAGGTTATTTGCACTAAAGGTAGCATTGTTTGGTATTGAAGTGACATATTATTGTGTAACGTATCAGAGAAAAATTATGTGAGTAAGAATTGATGTTGATAGTCTTTTTTACCGGCTTTCTGAACGTATACAGGAACAGTGTATAACACCACATTAAATAGGCACAAAATCTTCATAAGTGAAACGATGGCTGTCTCTTCTGAGCATGGTGACAAAACCATGTCGTACTTAATATTGATTCATGATGTGTCTGTTATAGGGGACCTAACGTTTAAACCTTGCCGGAGTCGATCGAGTGGCATGGCTCGGCCATGCAGGCGTGGTCTCTGCTGAATGTTACCTTATATCTTCTATTCATATTAAATATATTGTTCCTTCTCTAGCCTAACCTTGTTCTACATAATGTACTGGTAATTGATACGATACAGTGAGTTGATGTAGCCGATGGTGTGACTTCCACGTAAGATCTTATAGATTAGGCAGTTATATCATGACAAATCTACAATTTCAGGATTAGGTCTATTATTAGAGCAGTACTAATATCATAGTAGACCATAATTCTACATTGGTGAGCCCAACTAAAGAAACGCAACCTATTATTGTTAATCCTTATTTCCACCTTAACCTTCTCGATCGGATTTTATTTTTGTAAACCCACTATTCTAATAGTCCTTTGATTAATGGTCACATATATTATCGTAATGTTATATCTATTAGTTCACATAACTTACTAGCTCAATCGATAATAAAAGTTGATCATCTATATCAACTAATTAGCTTTGATGGTTCGTTAACAAGCTTTAATAGCA